TAATGAAATTTTTTGATGACCATTTCCAGTAATGCTGCATTTTACTTATAAAATGCCTCATCTACTCTGACTTTCTCCAACTGTGGTCCATGGTGCACCATCCTAGATTTTAATGAGGATAAAAATATCCTCCACTTCTTAGGCACTTCCTGTCTTTGACACTGTGCTGAACAGCCTCTACTTACCATTTCACCCCTAGTTTATAGGTAAGGAGCCCCCCAAGCTCAGACAGGGCAAGTCACCTGCCAACATCTGGAGGACCGCAGAGTGGCTCCCCAGAGGTGTCCAAGTGCTGATGCCCAGAACCCGAGCCTCTGTCTCCCCACAAAGCAGAAGAGACTTGACAGATGTGATGAAGCCGAGGATCTTGGGGTGGGGAGATCACCCTGGATTATCCAGCAGACCTGAAGGAAGCACAAGGGTCTTTCTAAGAGAAAGAAGAAGGCTGGGTGTCAGAACAGATGGGGCAACGGCAGCAGAGGTCAGCGTGGAGCAGGACCAGGGCACAAGGATTTTGCAGCCTCAGAGAGCTGGGAGAGACCAGAAGTGGGTCCTCCCCGCGCCTCCCCCGGGAACGCAGCCCCATCAGCAAGCACACTTTGAATTTGGGGCCTCCGGCCCGGGAGCTGATGACCTGGTTTTATGTGAAGCCATGGAGTGTGTGGCAATTTGTTACAGCGGTAGTGGGAACGGGCTGCACAAGGTCACAAGGCTATCGAGCATCAGAAGAAGGGCTTGAACCCTGCTCCCTGAGCGGCAGAGACCAAGCCCTTTATGTCCATGTTAAGTAATCTTGGAATTTAAATAGAGAGCTTTCCACAGGTGGTTTCTGCATTATAGCAAACATGACGGTATGAAACAAAATGCAAAGCCTGAAATATTTTGGAAAGATAAGAAAAGTGAGATGTCAAGACATTTACAACAGACCACAGGAATGAAACACAGGGCAGAAAACCAGGCTTGGCTTGATATGGCAAACCGGAGCCAGGGAGAAAGGGTGGGCCGCTTGGTTTCTGGAGGTGAGAAACCAGACTGCTATGCGCGGTAACAGAAAGCTGGAACCCGCCCTCCACCCTCTAAAGGGAGAGTCCATGTTGATTAAAGTCCTAAATGTGAGAAGGGAAATAAGGCCTCCAGGGAAAAATATCTAAGGATATCTTTGCAACCACGAGATGGCCGAAAAAAGATAGGTAAAAATGAAAACTACCAATCTGATGAATGAGTGTTAACCTGGGAAAAGGTATTTGCAATGGTTAAAAAGGATAGAAAATTAAATTTTAAACTCTACAAAGAGCTCCTAAAAATGAACAGTGAGAGAAACACAGCAAGTTCCATTACCCAGTTCCATACACACAAAAGAAAACACAGCAGGCGCCGTCTCCCTAGCAGGGGGTGCACCTACTCAGGGGCCCTTAGCAGACACATAGTGGTAGGAAGGGAAGAGAAGGAGGAATAGGAATGAAAGAGGAAAGAAGTTAAACTCCAGTGATGACTTTTACAGAGCAAGGATGAGAATATGACCTCTAACTCAGGATCCTTCTGAACCTGCGGAGTAGGAACAAAGGGAAGGGAAATCTCATTTTTGCCATAAGCCATGCCGGGCTCCAGGAGCAGGTGCCCAGGAGAGCCGCTGTCCTGTCCTGTCACGTGGGTGAGAAACGGGAAGTGTTGACAGGTGTCTGGTGTCATCTGATGGTCGGCAACGCTCTGAGAGGCAGGAAAAATAGCACAGGGTGACCTGTGTCTGGAAAAGCCCTCTTGAAATGAAGACCAAAACGTGGTGGGAAAAAATTAGAGCGGGATCTTTTTAAGCTTAAAAAGTGAAACTAAAAATTACAAAGATATGTTTTTGTCTCATAGTTTACAAAATTAAACTTCTATGGATGCAGGGATAGACACCGGGTGTGAAACCTGGGATCTCCCCTCTGAGTTACGTCCTCAGGCCCTTTACTATTCTTTATTTTGGGATAGAGTCTTGTTAAATCGCTCTGGCTGAGTTGCTAGGTTGCCAGGGCTGGTCTCAAGCTTGCAGTCCTCCCACCTCAGCCTGTCAGAGGGCTGGGAGTACGGGCACGCACCGCCGCGCTCAGCTATAGAATAATATGTTCAGTGTCATCTTCTACTCTGGTCCGCCATAATGCTTGGAGCACAGAAATGAGGCAATAAGTATTTGTTACATGAATAAATGAATGAACAAGTGGTAACCAGCTCTTAGGACAGAGAATGAATCAAGCATTTCTTTTTCCCCAGAATGAGCCATGGCCTTTTTCGATCTTTAACTAGCTTAACTGCAGAAGAGTCTCAGTTGTGGCTAACGTTGCCTATAACTTTAGCAAGTCTCTAAACAACCCTTCTCTCATCCTGGTGAAATCCTGCACATTTGCAGGTACCGTGGCCTCCTGCATTGGACGGGTGAGGTACTTGCATGGTGGGCAGGGGCGGGGATGCTCATGTGGGCACCAACTGTGTAAGTGGTCACTCAGAAGCGACTGCCTGGTCATTACATATACTTCTGCTCCTGGGCAACCCTGTTCGTCTAAACAAGCCCATTTTGCAGATGAGGAAAGTGAGACTCACAGAAGTTAAATGGCTCGAGCAGGAAGTGCGGAAGGCACTGTGGGAGGAGGAGAGAAGAGAGGGGTCAGATACAAAGAACTTCAGAGGACAAGGAGGGAGGGGTGGTAGCAGGGAGCTGGAGAGCCTGCTTCTTATCCTGCATGGAGTGGTTGCCCTCCATGCTGGCCTCTCGAGCTCTGGTAACAAGGAACCTAAGCTTGGCCGGAAGTGACACTTCATGCCTGTAGGGCTGAGCTCCGTCCCTCCCTCTCCTGTCCCTGAGGACTGCACTGGTCCCTTAGGCTGGTCACTGGATCTCCTGGCCTCTGTAGATCCGGTGTCCCTGTCCCCCTGTCCACTGCCTGCCCTGCTGGCTCTAGACCGTGGCATCGGCCCCCAGCTCGCCTCCCCAAGGTTTCAGGCACGGTCGTGGTGCTGCCCCTGCCGCTCAGATCCCCGCCGCAGTGTTCAGCTGCCCCACAGCTGGAGCCGCTTCTAGCCCAAGCTGTCCTCTAGGCTGTGTGACCCCAAAGGCCTCCGAGAACTCGGGGTCCTCTGCAGAGAGCACGCGGCACCCAGGCTTTCTGAGCACCATGTCCGTCGGAGGTGCTGGGTGAGATGGTGCTCCTCCCGATCCCCTGCAGGCCCAGGACACACCCAGGGAAGGGGGCACAGGAGCTTCAGTGCTGCCCTGAACACCGAGCTGGAGAGCTGAGGGGCTAAACTGAGGAGCAGAGGCACTACCACCACCTCGGGCTGCAGCGACAGAGCAGGAGGCGAGTCAGCCGAGCCCAGGGCCCCGGGGGCCGTGTGGGCCTGAGCAGTGGGACCGAGGCAGCTGCAGGAGTCACCAGCCTCCTCTCGGTCGGCTTCCCACCTGCTGTCACCCCCGGGAGCCAGGCGGCAGCCGCTCCATCCTCTGTGAGGCCTTGGGGGACACATCTGCAGGCCTTGCTCTTGAGGGTCTCGGGGGAGTTAAAGGAGTCTCCTCCCTGTGGACTCTGAGGCTGATCAGGACCCCTGTCCTCTGGCCTTGAGCGGTCGCCCTCCAGCTGGCCTTAGAAGGCCGCAGGAAGACAGGCTGGGGGGTGAGGCGAGAAAGCACAGCTGCCGGCGGCTCCAGATGCAGTGCACCCACCCCATGCGGCCTGTGGAGGGACTGCGTGTCGGGGACCCTGCCGGGAGCCGCCCACAGCCCTCGGGGGCTGCGCTCCTTGGTCTCCTGCTATGGACTCGGCGGTGCTAAAGCCCGGGAGGCTTTGTGATTCATTTCTGCCTTCTCGCCGCCTCCTCTGCGGGATTTTGGAAAGTTTGATTCAAAGGACAGTGCGGTGGTAATTAGCTCACTGATGGTCAGCTGCACCCTGGCTTTGTAACAAAGTCACTGAGTATAGCTATCATCGTTACTATTATTATTATTTTTATCACTATTATTATTATTATTAGTTTTTTGGTTTTCTGAGACAGGGTCTAGCTATGCAGTTCAGGCTGGCCTTGAACTCACAGCAATTCTCCTGCCTCAGCCTCCTGAGTGCTGGGATTGCAAGGGTCACCACCACGCACAGCTCCAGTATAATCACTATTAATTCTAAGTGCTGAGTAAGCGTCAGCCTTTCGAGTATGTCCTAGTCTGGGGCCTTGCCCACCTCAAAACTAGGCTCTGGGACAAAGGCCTAGCGTGGGTGGCAGCTCGGGAGCGGGAGGGAAGGAGAGCCGCTGGGAAACACTCCGGACTCACCGCCCGGAGCACCAGGGTAAGCTCTTGGGTCACTTCTAGGAGCTGCACCCCACAGACAGAGCATTTATCCTCAGTGCCCGGCCGAGCACGGACAGTGGGTGCTGGAGGTGACCCTGGTTTCCCCGCAGAGCGAAGGCTGGGTGTCCCAGAAAGTAGTGTTCGACTCTCAGCCCTGATCCAGAGGGCCCGGGGGACAACACTGCCCCCCAGAGACGCCCCTCTCCTCCAGGTGGGGCAGAAGCCTGGCCAGCCCCTAGGTCAGGACAGCGACTCCGTCACCAGCCCCTCAGACAAGGCCCCAGCTCTCCACCTGCGCCCTCAAGGTCCCCAGGCCAGCCCCTCCCCACGTGGCCAGAGCCCATCTCGGAAGTGCAGACCACACAGGGGGCTGAGGCGTGAGAGGCTGCGGGGGCGGGGCACTGGGCCTGGGGGTTGCGCCCAGGGCCCAGACATCAGCACGGTTTGGTGAGGCTGGTCCCCAAGCCGTTACGCCGGGCTGGGTCTGCCCTGCAGGACTGAGTAACACTGATAAGGAACACGCACCTCTGGGCCTCCTGATAAGATGACGCCCCTGGGAAGGAAAAGTGGGACAGACAAACCCGAACGCACAGTGCCGCTGAAGAGGCCCCGTGCTGTTGTTCTGGGCACTGACAAAGTAGCGTTGCGTGTAGCGTTTCCCACATGTTTTATTTCATTAGTGCGTCTTCGTAATTCAGCACCGGGCGCCGGTCTGGGCGTCCGGCTGCATGCACACCGCGTCCTTTGGTTACGTTCGCCCTTCCTTCCCTCCGCCGCTCTCAGCCCCACCTCTGAGGGGCGCCCTGTCCTTCACTGTCCTGCGCGCTGTGCACCTCTGTGCCCTGCAGCGAGCCCGGGACAGGCCAGCAAACATCAGCATCCCCACCGCAGCGCCTGGAAACGCAGAGTCACCGAGCAGGGCCTGCGTCCAGGTCCCTCTCTGCCAAGCCGCTGAGCCGGGAGGCTGTGCTGCCAGGGACCCCTGCCAGAGGGTGCAGGCTGGCAAGGAGGAGGCTTCGCGGAGCCCAGGCTTGGCCAGGGCGGGGGCGGAGGACGGCGTTCCTGAGCTCCCGCGGCTGCCTCCGGCTCTAGGTGCGCGCAGTAGTCTGCATGTCGCTGGTTGAGGTTTCAGGTTGTTCATAGCTCCCTGGAGGGAATGCTGCCGTAGGTGAGCACCCGAAGTTCTTACAGGAGGTGTGGGAGCTTTCTTCTCTGTACCTGAGTAAGAACACAAGCCGGGGGTGATGGTGCCAGTCACCACCCCCCCCATACTCTGGGAGGCTGAGGTGGAAGATGGGAAGCTCAAGACCAGATTGGATGGCATGACTCAGCGACACACTGTTTCACACACACGCGCGCACACGCGCGCACACACACACACCGGCTGGGCATGTAGCTCAGTGGTAGATGGTGGAGAACTTGCCTAGCATGTGTGAAGTCATGGGTTCAATGCCCAGCGTGAGGGAGGGAAGGAGACAGAAAAATAGACAGACAGAAGAGAAGGGAAGAGCATGGCAACAATAAAGATGGCCCCCGCCAAGACGGGCATCCAGCCTGAGATGGTGCCGAGGGACCCAGGGCTCAGACTCCCTGAGCGCATTCTGCCGAGTTCTCGCTCAGTCACTTGCCGCGGGCTGGGAATATTTATGGTGTCTGGGGTCTGCAGACCCGGGTCACACCAGGGAAGAGAGACCAGAGACAGTAAAGTGAGGAGCTGGGAAGCACCTGGCGGCCTCTCAGCCCTGCCTCTCCGGCCAGGACCTGCGCGCAGCTCTGTGGATTTCCACCCTCTTCTCAACTGCGGTGGAAACCGAGCTGACAGCACGAGGAGGAGGGACTGGTACCAACCTCAGAGTGCTGGGCTCGGCGAGATCGGCCAGGGTGCTGCCAGCTGCCTTAACCCCTCTCCCGTGAGCACAGCTGAGAGCGGCTCAGGGAGGGGGGGCGGCAGCACAACCCCAGCCACCCCCCTTCCTCCAAGGGAAAGCGCTGCCCCAGACACCCACGGGACATGAGCTTGTGCGGGGCACAGACCGTGCGGTGCCCCTGCTGACTCCACTGTGCTGGGCACGGAGCCGGTGCCCGGAGGCTGCGGGCAGAGACGGTAAATGACCAGAGGTTGCCAATGTGAACCCTCGGCCTGCCCGTCCCCTCGCTGGCCTCTCCGCCCCCGACTCTACCCACGGATGATCCAGAAGGCTTCAAGACATACTAGTTACTGCTGGGACGTGGGTTGGAGCTAGATTTCCCCTAGGTAATCGCATCTGAGAGCCGTCCAAAACAAAAGGCTAGCGGGCAATAAAGACGCAGAGCCAATGGCAGCAATCCTCCAACAGAAGAAATCCTGGGCAATTAGAATAAAAATTCAGGAGGCAAGGCAGGGGGAGCGGGAGCAGAGGGGGGCCCACAATACTGGTTTTGTAAATTTTAATAAAACATATAATTGACCCGCATTAGATTTATTCACATGTGCAAAGGAGAGCTGCTTGCTAATGAGAAAAGGCTTTATTCCCCAAATTTCACACCACGAATTCATTTTCCCTCTTCCTTGCTGGTTTGGCACGTTTTTAAATGGCTTGGTTAAAACAATTATTAATCCTAAATTAAATATCCATGACAATTAATCCCCCCAGAGCCAAGAAAAGTTGCTGCTGCTTCCCACCTCATTTTCTCTATGACCAAAGAGTTATTTGTTTTCTCTAATGCGACTGGTGAGCTACGCGAAGGCAAAAAGAAACATTCTCCGGGCTAAAGGGAAGAAATTAAATGGAACCAAACAGGAGGCGGTGAAAACACAGGCTTCTCAGCTTTGTTCCCCGGCACCTCCCGTTACAGATTAGTGTGAAAATGGGAGAGCAAGGCTTTTCATTAGCTTTTACCTCGTCCGTAAAACACGTACAATAACTGCAGCTCATAAATGAGCGAACCCGCGTGTCGTGTGACACCCACTGCAGGGACTGCCGACCGAGGGCCTCCGTTCTCCCCAGGAAGTTTGAAGGGCATACTTCAGGCTCCTGTTTTGGCATGTCTTTCGGTCATGTTTTTAAAAACATCTGTTCAGCCCGGTGTGGTGGCGCATGCCTGTAATCCCAGCACCCGGAAGGCTGAGGCAGGAGGATCGTTGCCAGTTCGAGACCAGCCTGGGCTACAAAGTGAGCTCAAGGCGAGCTTGAACTACATAGCGAGACCGTCTCAAAAAGACAAAAAATAAAATAAAATAAAATAAAAATATCCGTTCAACACTCACTTTGTGGAGGCTCTGAGAAACTCATTTTCCACTCATAAACACAACATTTTTTTCCTCTGCTTAAAATAATAGTAATTGCATATATTGGTTATTGACAATTCTCTAGACTAGAAAATCCTGGAAGTATTTTGCATGGTTTCAATATTCAGATAATAAAATCATTCCCTTCATTATACATTTTTTTCTGCTTCAAAATTTCAGCCACAATAGCTGCTGAGCCCAGCTACGGACAGCTGGCGAGGCGTAGGGTGGTCCTGCCACTAACATGGTAGCTGTCACAGTCGATGACCAAGGGACACATGCACAACCTGCCACCTCAGGCAGGTCTGCGGCTCCAAATCCTGCCTGCCTGGGCAGCACTGGGGCCACCTGCTCTGTGCCAGAGTTGAGGGTGGCATCTGAGTTCCACTACAGGACAACCCCCTGCCCCTCAAAGACATGTGATCTACTTTTTACCAGCCCCACACAGTGTCACACTTGGAAATTTGAGGTGGGGACAGCAGGTACACCTAAGTACTCCTTCCTGATGGCACTGCTGATATAGGAGAAATAGAACTCCCAACCTGCTAGATGTCAGATGTGCTAAGTTCATGTCTCCTGCAATTGAAGAATGAATTCCAAAGGCCAATGGAGGGTAAGAGTGGGAAAGTTTCCTGGGGAATAGGAATAGCTCCTGAGAGACAGGCAGGGTCCTGAGTGGGTTCCTACCAAGGTACTTTGTCAGGGGTAATTTATACAGCACAGTCACAAGTGTGGGTAAAACACTGGTCAAACTATAATCAACCAATACAATTACAAGTATACCCACTTAGCCAATATTGACCCCCTAGGAAAGCTGGTCATGTGGATAGCGAGGGTACATGGCTGACATCATTAACTTTGGCTTGTCTACGAACTCTAAAACAGAAGCATGTTGGGAAGGGATGGGTCCAGTTGCTCTGGTCACCCACCCAGGGGACATATCTAGCCCTAATAGACTGGGGCGTACCAAGCACAGTATAATCTCAAATTTCCCCTTGTCTCTTAGGTCCGGCCATTGTGACTGTATCTCAAGGCCTCGCCTTCTTCAGAGGCACCTCCAGCCACAATTCTGATGTCTTTTAGTTTCATTGACTTCTTCGAGAGCCCAGCCCCTCTCTGACTGAACATTAACTTCTATCTAACTTAGCTGCCTGTAATACTTCTATTGGTGGCCCTGGTGGGCCATCCTTTCCCGTAGCCTCGAGGGACCCCAAAACCAGCTCCTGCATGTAATGAATGGAGCCTTATTATTTCTGCAGGACTTTCAAGTTGTTCCAACTCAAGGCCACCAGCAGAAAGCACAGAGAGGGCCAGGGCGCAGGCGATGGGGATTTCTGGATGCAGATTTCAGTCTGAGCTGGAAATCCCTTGCCCTTGGGTTCCAGGAAAATCTGTGTGGTCCATTCGCCAATCTGTCGTCATCCCCCAGGGTCACCGCCCTGACCATGAGATGGGGGATTTCTACGCCTGGCTCGTTCCCACCAAGCGACAAGGGATATTTACACTCAACCCAGAAGAACCCAGGTATGGTGGTTTACCTAACATATTGTTTCAGTTTTCCTCATGTGACAAAAAGTCCAGCTGTGCCACAGCTCTGGGCTGGTACAGCTGCTTGGGAGCCACAGCAGGCCAAGACCCTGGGCCAGCAGCCCCAAGCAGGTGGCTTCCACGCTCCAGGGCGACTGCCAGCCTCCCTGCCCCAAGAGCAGCACAAGTGCCTGAGCAAGAAGAGGAAAGCCGAGAGTCAGAAGCCTGTGCCAAGGCAGCTGGTCCTCATTCAAAAGGGGAGCAACAGCTTTCCAGGAAGCCAGCAGCAGGCTCGGTCACATCTCCCGGTCAGGGACGGGCCACAGGATCACCACTGGGCACAGAGGCTCCCGAGAAGGCCAGTGTGTTGACTGGAACCCTTGTGTCTCCTGAAAGGTCAGGGGGCAATGTGGGATCACGAGGGAGAGTGCGTGTCGGCCAGCATCTGCTGCTTTGCCAAGGGTGAGATAGATTCTGAGAAGTCCCAAGATTTCTTCCGGGCCACGACTGCCTCCGCCAGTCCTACGCACGCACGGCTCTGCACGGGTGACGCAGGGAACGGGAGGCCGAAGACCCCGCCCGTGTCTCACAGCCGCGTGGGCTGCACCAGGACTACAGCAGGACCAGCGCAAACCGAGGCTGGGCTTCCTCGTTAGGCGCTCCCTTCCGCTCCCCCAGCCTCGCCATCCTTCTCAGCCTCCCAAGCATCACTGCAAGCCCATCACCAGGTCTCCCTCTTTAACAGGCTCGCCTCCGGACTGGGCAGAAGAGCTTCCAACCCAGCTCTACGGCGGGGGTCCCACAAACATGGGCCCAGGCTTAAAACCGCAGCCTTACTCCAGTTCAGGCAAGTTCCACCCCATGGGTCCGGCCACCTGGGAGGCATCTGTAGGTCCTGAGCCTCTTCTTGCCACCCCCAGAGGAGGTCCCTCTCCTCCCTGCTTCTCCAGCACAAGGTTGGGGCCCCTCCGTGGGGCACCCTGGGTGCTCAGTCCTGTCTGAAGTCAGAGCCCGCCTCCCTGGGGGGCCGGCGGATTCCCAGGCTCATCGTAGCATTTATGATACAAACCCCACTCCTGAGGAGGACAGGGGATGCTGCTATAATCACACAGGGCAAGGAGCAATCATGAAGACATGCTCTGCCCCGCTGGCCCCAGAGAGGCTAAAACACGAAGAAAAGGAAGACGCCTCTCAGGATCAGTGAAATGCAGTGTTTAACTTCCAGTTTGGGTTTGGACATGAGGAAACAGTTCTCTTGCATGGCTGTGGGAGTGCTCTGCTGTTATTGGTGTCTGTGTTTCGTTTTTCCTTTGGCGTGAGACCCCAGAGTGGGTGAGCGCATAGGAAGGCATTGCCAGGTTGCTGGGCCTGTGGGAATCGGATCGGTGTATTTGGAGAACTTCTCCCACTGCACATGGAAAGCCTTAGCGTCACTCGCATGCTCTGACTCGGGAGCTCTGTCTCTGGATTAGCCTCCTGTCCCACGGGCATGATCAAAGTCCTGCAAAAACATCGTCCGTGTTCATGATAATTTAGCAAGAAACAGGAAGTACTTTAAATACTCCATCTGCCAAGTGAGTTAAATAAAGTGCGGTACATTCTGTCGATAGATTACAAACAGCCATTCAAAAATGATGTTGTGCACAGGGCATGGCGGTGCACGCCTGTAATCCCGGCACTCAGGAGGCTGAGGCAGGAGGATCGTTGTGAGTTTGAGACCAGCCTGGGCTTCAAAGTGAGCTCGAGGCCAGCCTGGACTGCATAGCGAGACCCTGTCTCAAAAAAAGACCAAAAAAAAAAATGATGTTGTAAGAGTTAAAGTTTATGTTGGTAACAAAGATTTAATAACTTAATAACTTATACATAATTCACTTTTATTTTAAAAATATTTGTAGAAGGAGAACTATGGATGTCTCTCTCCACACCACAACAGAGAGGGTGTGTACACCACAAGGCCAATTACACGTTTTTTTCCTTTATGCTTCTTACTGTTTTCCAACAGTAAGCATATAGAACTTAAAAATTATTTTTTAAACTCTTACAAAATAAACTTTAAGACCCTAACAAGTGCTTTTGAATAAAAAAAGAGTGTCGACAGTATTTCTGTAGACTATCTAGAGTGTTTCTCTGTAGGTAGAGAGACATTTTGAAGCATATTCCATCCTAGGCTAGGAGCTTCCTTTGAGGTTCCAAAACTTTGTGTATTGTTTTGCCAAATGTGTTTTCCTTTTGGAGTATAATGAACCAATTTTCTATATACAATCATTATTTTATACAGTTTGCTAAAAAACTTTTAAGGAAAAGAATAGGTTTTCCTATTTGTCTTTTGTTTTTGTTTTTTACAGAGCAGTACAAAATTGGCCTCAGATCCCCGCTCAAAAGCATGTGGTGCTGGGCTCGCTTAGGTCGCACATATCCTACAATAATAAATCTGCAGTGCTATAGACGGAATGCGTGTGTTTTCCCCAAACATCCTGTGTTGAAATCCAAAGCCCTGAAGTGATGGTGGCAGGAGATTCATCTCTGACAGTGAAGCCGTCGCAGACAGGCAGGCTTGGTTACAGAAGAGACAGGGAGAGCTCTCCCAGCTCTACAGTCTGCAACCTGACAGAGCCCCCGGCCCCCGGGACCCGGCCTTGCTGTCTCCCAGTCTCAGACCTTCAGCCTCCAGAACGATGAGAAACAACTTCCTGTTGTTTATAAGCCGCTCTGTGTTGGTGTCCTGTCCTAACAGCCCAAACTGACTAAGATATACATAAGGCTTGCTTCCGCCTCCACCTGCGAAGCAGAGTCTGAGGGCCTGCGACTCCAGCTGCCCCGAAGGATGACGCCGTCTTACCACGGTTCACAGGAGCAGCGTGGTGGGGGCACCAGTGCTTGGCCCTGAGCTCCCTTGGTGTCACAGTGTGTGCTGGAGACCACAGATCACACTCAGGGTATTCCTGGCGCCCGTCATTTCCTGGAGACTTTTACCTGCCCCTCTCCAAGCTGCTCTGTGCGCTCAGGGCTGGAGGGCTGGAAACCACAGTCCCTCCTCCCTGCTGGCAGACTCTTGGGCTTGGCCAGTGGGGATATTGGCTAAAGACCAGACAGAAGGGGACGTGCCGCGCTCCGCTCTGGCTGCCGTAGTGTGACAGAAACAGCTGGTGCTGTTGCCACGGTAGGATGGGTGATTCCAGGTTTCTTTGTGGAGCCAATGTTCAGAACATTCTGGAAGCCCTGGCCCAGGTGTGCTCGTTCCAGCTCGTGAGCTCTGTGTCGTGCCTTCTTTTCCCCATTACTCTTCCAGCCCTTCCGTTTCACTTTCCTACATTTGGTTCTCTCTGTTTGAAATACCTAGACGGTTTCTATCTTCTTGACTGGGCCATGAGTGACCCACCATGACTGAGATGACCAAATGTAGGATGTCTATATTTCAACATTTACATGTCATCATTTGGGAAACTGACTCTTCAATTCCAAGAACTGTCCTAGAAGTTGGAAACCCAAGTTGGAGAACCTCCCACCTCTTCCGGGTTTCTGAGGCTCTTTGCCTTTAAAATGAAGCAGAGCTGGTCTCTGGCAACCCCTGGGTGTCTGAGAGCTGCAGGGCTAGAGGGGTCTGAGTGGCTACATTCAGGCTACAGACAATCAAGCCAGGCTTTTCTTCCCCTTCCCAAGAGCCAGAGAATGTCTGGACAGGAGAAACACCATCGCTAACCTCTCCGGGTGGAGTGCGCCTGGGGGCCGGGGCTGCCCCGAGCCTTCATACATGCAGAGTAGGGAAGGGAAGGGGAGGGGCTTACACACAAAGCACGGAAACCCAGGGGCCCAAGCACTGGGGCTGGGAAGAGGGCACCCACGGGGCCCCCAACAAGGAAACTTAGCTACTTGAATCCTCTGAGTCTACATGACACGAAGTCTCAAAACACTGGTAACCCAGAAATTTGTGCAATCATTAGGTGTCCATTAAAATATTTACATCATCAAGGACTGATTTGTATTTAGTGTGCATAGAAGTAAGAAGAGCTATTTTTAAAGCAGCAAACCACACACACACACACACACACACACACACGTTCTCACTGAGTTCCAGGGAATGCTTGCCCACTCCTCTTGGACTCACAGAAGCAGCTGGAGATGGGGCAGTTCCCAAACTTCTCCGTCCAACCCAGGAGACGACACAGGGGGCCTCCAGTTCTGTGAGAGGGAAGAGTGCAGCCTGGGACAGGAGTTCGGATCCCATCGTGGGTACACACATCGTGGGTTCCAGGTCTCAGCCATTCCCATGTCCCAGCAGAATGGCGCATCGTCAGCACCCAATAAATGTTTATTGGATCAAACTCAGGCCGCACTTTGGTGCAGCGTCTCTGCAATCCTCCCAACTGGAAAGCACTTTGCGATTCTGTTTCAGAGCCAATACACGCACCGTCATTTCTTTCAGGAACCTTCTGGGACTTGGACGAGCTCGGAGAAATCCACAAGCATTATGGAGCCCTAGGAGAGGGTACGAGGATTCAGGAAAACTCAGCCAGGATCGACACGGTTCTGCTGACTGGGTGAGCTCGGCCTCTACCCTAACGGGTGAGCAGGTCCCATCAGACACGCGACGACAAGGAAACCATTGCTTGGGCGAGACTAACTGGAAATCTTTGGACAAGAGAGGGTATGAACGAGTTTCCCTTAGGAGAAGTAAACTGGCAGGGCTGACTAATTAAAGTTAAAAGGAAATGTCTGAGTCACACTTCCCGGCCGGCTGGCTCCCTCTTTGGGTCCCCCGCTTATTTGTGAAACACATGCTTCTCCCGGGGAAGCAGTGCGGGTAACACGTTTGACACTAACGCAGACACTAATGATTTCAAGTTGCTCCAACCAGAGCTGAGGATCTTTTCTGTGATACAAATAAATATGTGCTTTGGGCTGTGATATTTTTCCAGCTAAGCTCTTTGGAGTCCCACACATTTGTTTTCTCCTTTTTTCTCTCTAAATCACAAGGGTTTTCACAAATGCAGGATGTGTATCTTGGGAAAGCAGACGATGTAGGAACTTATAGAATCCTAACTTGCAAAAGTCCCTTGGGAATAGGAATGTCACAGTCACTTTTCTCACAGGTAAATGGAGTGGAGTCTTTTCCAATTCCTGGTTTCATAGCACACATTTCAAATGGGACCTCCGTTTCGTTTTGGAATTGAGTCTCGAATAGTTTTTTTTAAAGTGAAATAATACTGTGAGACCAGCAATAAAAAGCATTGATTCTGCCGAGTGGAGTGGTACACACTTGTAATCCCAGTATGCTGGCAGGCTGAGGCAGGAGGATTACAAGTTCAAACTCAGCCTGGGCAACTTAGTGAAATCCTGTCTCAAAATTTAAAAAATAAAAATGTTTTAAATTTTAAATTAAAAGGGCTGGGGATAGAGCTCAATTTGAAGGCCCTGGGTTCAATCCCTAGTATTAGGGACTGAAAAAAAGTATTAATTCCTTTACTCCAAACTATCAAGCACCAAGTGCCCCCTCACTGGCAGTCACTCTGTTGTTTGTCTTGAACACTCATCCTGCTATTTCTAAAGAACACGCAGATGCTGAGATTTCTTGAATTATCAGTGTTAAAAAAAGACCTAGTGACTCTTCTTGAGGTTAGACGAGGACTTAACACTCATAGCCCACCTCCACCCCCACTTCGCCTATTCCCCCGGGACGCTATTTCAGGAGCTACAACAATCGTGTGAGTATGTAGCCAGCGACAAAGTTATCAGGATGATAAATACTGCCCACTGCTGAGGCAGGGAGGCTCTCCCACGTTTGAGTCTCTTATACAAGTTTTTGTTTTTCCTGGAGTTAATCATGGCCTCCATGTTTTCCATTATGTTGTTTTCTGTGTACTTATTTTTGCTTTTTTTCTCCATACTGTCCTATGCATTTGCACAATGCCTACGAATACTATTTTCTCAATTACCAAGCATGTCAGAGGGTCCCTCCACTCTGTGGATCCCCCAGAAGCTTCTCTGCCGTCACTCCCTCCCTTCTTTACGTTGGACCGAGCATAGAGAGTGCACTGTACGCTGTTCCTCACAAGACTTCCCAGTTGTTCCTCTGCTTTGTTGGGTGGAGAACCTCTCAGTTCTCTTTTCTTTTTCCTTTCCCCTTCTTTTGCTGAAGTACATGCTCCAGTAGCTGCCCCATGGTGGTTGACTGAAAAACAACTTTTTGGGGGGCATTGTACCCATCTAAGAATATTTGCTCTCAAAGTTGACTAATAGTTTTTGAAAATATAGACCCTCAATTCAAGATTATGTCTCTGCATACTTTTATGTTCATTATTCTATTGTCATTTCTCTTCCACTATGCTCTTGAGAAATTCAGTGTCACTATGCATCCCGATGCTTTGTATGTGACATAATTTTGTCCCTTCCTGGAAGCTTTCAGAACCTTGTCTTTCTTCCTGGTATGCTTGGTATGGGTCTTTTCCCCCCGTTTCTTGAGCTGGCTGATTACTATGCCTAAAAGTTTTGAAGTTTTTTCTTGGAATGTTTCTTTACTAATTTCCTCCTTTCACTTTCTTCTTACTTTCCTTTGCAGAATTCTAAATTGTTTAATTTTCTTATCTCCTCAGCCATATCATTCATGCTTTTGACTGTATTCTCTGGGAAGTTCCTTTGTTTCATCGCCTAATTCTGCTGCTTAATTTTTCAAAAATTTTAGTTACGTTGTCAATTTTCAAGGCTCTGTTGATCTTTTTCTGTGACATTCTGGTCTCTTTTTTCTGAACGCTATCTTCTCTTAGGGACTAATTTACTGTTAATATGCACTTGTTGGGGGGGCACAGGGCTGTCTTCCTCTGTCTGGAGCCAGCGGAGTGGGGCTCAGATCCACGCCTGTGTGGCCTTCACCCCACTGCCCAGGACGGGGGACTTTTCTTTAGGGGCAGGCAGATTCTGTAGAAGAACCCTCCCAGTTTCCCACCTGGAGCACGGGCACCCAGATGCTGCATCTGGTGACAAGGGAAGGAAATAGCAGAGGGCCCTGCTCAGGGTGTGCCCACCACCTCACCTGCCTGTGCCTCCGCGCACCTGTGCCCCCACACCTGAGCTGTCTAGTGGGAACCATCTCCTGCAGAACAGAGACTCTCGTTGCCGTGGTTGTCAGCAACACCCGGGTTTTATTCCCTGGGTGCACAGCTAAAGTGAATAGGTCTGACGCAGCCTGCAGCACCCATACCTTGTGTTAAGGCTCTGATCCTACATGGAGTTCGGCCTACATGGAGTGGCTCTCAGCTCTTGAGTTGTGACTTCCTCCATGTGCAGCTGGATATTGAGTCCCCAGAGGCCTTTCCCTGTCCAAAGACGTGTAGAAATCTTTCGTCTGTGTCTTTTTGCTTCTTGCCCTCTGTCGAGCATGGATCCCATTTTAATCTTTTTGCTGCTGCTTTGGGGAGCGAGTCGGGAGGGAAACGATAACATTTCATCTGCAATACTTGCAAATTGTCTATCTGATTAGGCCCTACTTACTATCCAGAGTATATAAAGAACGCTTACCACTCACCGATAACAATTAAGACGTGAGCAAAGGGTTTGACTGGACATTTCTGCAAAGAAGGTATACAGCACCAAAGGCCAATAAGCACAAGACACACTGGCCTGGTGTCCATCTAAAATATCCCCAAAACGTCTCATGTATGGAAGGGACTGGCTGGAGGTGGTCACTGGGGCTGTGGCCTGAAAGGGTGCATTCCTGCCCCCAGCTCTCTTGCACGCTCTCTCATTCCTGGCCGCCATGGGGCAGGCAGCTGTCCTCTGCCGCACCCTTCCACACACCACAGTGTGTCTGCACCTTGGAGCCAGCGGGCCGTGGGCTGAATCCTGATCCTTTCAGCGAAGTGAATGTCTCCTCCTTAAGTCTGAAATGATGAGAAAGTGACTAATATACCTAGCATCATTAATTATTAGGGAAATGCAATCAAAGTCACCATGAGAGGTCACTTTATATCCACTAGCACACACACACACACACACACACACACACACACACACAGGAAATTGTAAGTGCTGAGAAGGGGGTGGGATGGGCACTGAAAACCTAATCGTGGCTGGGACTTTCTGGTAACCAAAGCCCTCATCCTGAAGTCATCTAAGAGTCCCCAGCTGCAAGTGACCTCACTTGCCTGTCACACCATGATCGAATCACTGTGTTGAGTTTCAGGAGCTGTGTGCCAGAAATCAGGACAAAGACAAAATATACAAGGTGTGATCCAAACATAAGGCAAATATTTACATTTTTTAAAATGTATTCTAGCAAAAGACACATTGCCATGCATCTCCCCTCAAATATCCTCCCTCTCACATTGAACACACTCATCCCATCAGCCTCGACAGTTTCTGCAGCAGCTCTGGAGTCCTCTTTCCTGAGGGTCTTTAGCTGTGCTGTCCTGGCTGCCTCCATGTCCCGAGTGAATTCAAAACACTGACCTTCCATGGTCATTTTGACTTTGGGGGAGAGGTAGAAGTCACATGGTGCTAGATCTGGTGAACAGACAGGGTGGGGACACAGCAGCGGCATGTTTCATGAGCCTCCCTTTCCTCTGGATGGCACTTGGTGGTGGTGGCCGCCATGTTTATCACATCTTGTACAGACACTCAGGAAAGAGCACTCCAGAACTGGTGCAGACAGTGGTGAGAATGATGACATAAGCATGTCCTACAAGAGGGAGGGTTCCGAGGGAGACTCGCAGCAATATATTTGTTACCGTGATACATTTTAAAAATTTATTCCCCATATATTTTTAATCTCATGTATTGATCATTATAACATAAAATGATCATGTATGATCATTACGAATTTTTTCTTGTATAACAAAATCAGACATAGGTGATTATAACAATCAGCTCAGCTACCCAGCAAGGCCGTTGTGGACCCAGGCTCTGCCACCTGTTTCTGTTCTGTCATCCTTGCAGACTGACCTTTTCCCTTGGCTTGAAAAGGGTCTCTTCATGGTCACAGCAGGGCTGCCACAGCTATGGTCATCACATCTGCATCCAAAGCAAGGCAGAAGAAGGAAGGGGCCGGGCAAGCAGCCTTTTCCTTTCAGCAGGAAAATGGAAATCCTTCCCAACAACCTCTAAGAGGCTCCTGCTTACATCTTATCGATCAGGATGGGATTGTGTTGCCCTCCATAGCCTGTAGCATGAAATGTTCACATCCTCCAGTAAAACACCCAGATTCCACCATTGCTGTGCTGAGAAGGATCTGAGGGATGAATGCCCAGCGCTCGGCTGTATAGTCAGTGGAGTCGGTCTTCATCCTCCTTTCTGCATCCGTGATGCATGCAAAGTGTCAGGAAATAGCGCCTGCAAGTGCAGGAGAGA